CGAATCACGGCACATCTTTAAGACCATATAAGCATCAAAAAAAGAAATCCAGGGATATTCACGAGGCTTGGAATCAATTTTCAAAATGTGAAAGCAGAAAAACTGACGTGGGATCTTCGGTGTGGTTAACTGTTGGTGAGGTGGGGTTGTGGTAGGTGTACTAGCAGGCTGTTTGTTAGAACATCACCACCATTCCTCTCCAGGGTCTTTCCAAAGCCCAGAGGAGGAACTAGAAACTACAAGGATTCCCTAGTTAGAGTCCTCCAAAAATAGGCACTGGGGGAGGATTTAGAAATCTGGATAGAAGGAGTGGGCAGAGCCATGTGTGGACAGTTGCTATGTGTAAAGCCATTTCCAAGTGACCCCCGGAGAGTAAACCCCTGGCACAGATGCTTCAGCTGGAGAAAGTCAGTGGGAGATTTCCGGGTGCTTCCTGAGTGCCAGTGAGACTTTCTAGCAAGCTCTTGAGAATCACTGGCCTGGGTACTGGTGAGGATGCCCCACCTCTGGGCAGCCTTAGTACAGTCTTTAGAAATTCACCCCTAGCAATAGACATTTCCAAGTTTTGCCTCTCCAATTGGTTTTTTTCCTTTCACTCTAGCACAATGCCACAGTTATCCCCAACTGCCTTGATTCATATATCCTGTGTGATGAATGTCAGGGGTGACCTAGGAATCAAGGACACAGACTTGAATTTATTTTAGCCCCTTGTCTCTATTGCTGAGTGGCTTTGATGACGCCCAGCAGTTCTTGGTGTATTCTTCTGTTCAATGGGAACATAGTATTTGCCCTCCCTATTTTTAAGGGTATCTTAAGAATGATATGATCTAATCTCTAAATAAAAATGTTTCCTCCAAAGACACAATGATCCATAAATGTGAATTCTACTTACAGCAGTTAAACAGAGTGGCAGTGTCTGGCATGATAGGGCTATCTCCTGTCCACATAACATATTTATGTGAAACAGACATTTCTCCAACAAATATGTCAATATTCTTTATAGCATGACATCCACTGAGGATATTATATATAAATTGCCACTAGGTTACAACAGAGATCTCTGACACAACTCCATGTCTTCCACCCTCCAAAGGAGATACTCAAGCCTGGACCAGCATTCCCAGAGAGATTTCAGGTAAACCATTCTAAATCCATGTGTGCACCATTAGCTACAGCTTTATGAGAGTCCAGCCCCTTCTTCAAAGCATCCATTGCTTTATCCTATTTTATACCACAAAAACACCAAAGTTGAAAAAGCTACAACATTATAATAATCATCTACTTGGAAATTATGCTTTGTGGCTATCTGTTCTCTGGGAATGAATCAGTAGAAATGACTCCCATCCTTGCAAATTTGAGTTTCTGAAAGCAACAGAGTTGTCAAGTGAAATATAAGAGGCTGGCTCTTCCATTTATTGTGCCCACCCTTAAAGAAGATGGGGCTTTTTTTTTTTTTTTTACATGCAATCAAGTTGCCTCATAGAGGTATCTAAGATTCAGACTCTTCTGCTGGGTTTCTATGACTGTATTTTTTTTTTACTGAACAAATATTGTGTTAATCCCCTTTCTGTTACCATAATAAATACCAGAGAAAAAACAAGTTATAAAGAGAAAAGGTATATTTTAGCTGATAGTTGTGATAATTTTAGCCCCTAGTTGAGCTGACTTGTTGCTTTGGGGACTGTGATGAGACAGCATGTCATGGTGGGAGCACACAGCAGAGAAAGCTCCAACCTCATGACCAGAAGTGAAACAGAGGAAGAGGAGAGGCTAGGGTTCCAATATCCCTTCAAGGGCATGTTCTCAATGACTTGAAGACCTCCCAGTAGACCTTACCTTTTAAAGATTCCACCAGGTCCCATGGCATGGATTAAGGACTAGGCCTTTAACACATCCTTCTTTGGAGAGCCCTTATCCCAACCATAGAAAAAATATATATATATTGAGCTCAGAGGAAATAGCAGAACCTATGTCATACAATGCAGATACAGCTGTGAGCAAACAGAATCTTCTCCATTACTCTTAAAAGCTTATAGTTTATCTAGGAAGCCTGGTCCCTGGATAAGAAAGACTGATATAATGTTAATGTATAAGGTGGGATCAGAAGAGTATCCCTTGGAGCTGTGACATCTAAACTGACACCTCAACAATGATGGGAAGAAAAGTTAGACTTAGTACTGCTTCTCAGGGGCTTCCACCTATGAGGAGTTTAAGACATACAAACCCCAACCCTTCCTACAAAGCAGAATGGGAACAATTGCTTCAAGGAGGTAGAAAAAAATATTATGAGTAATCTCAAGAAGGAGAAAAACCAATAAAGCTCAGATCAGGAAAAGTTTCATGTAGGAACCAGAGAGTGCTGCACATGACTGTGCCTATGATGTATGGAGTGTCTGTAAGATACAAATGGAAAAAACGGAGCCTCCTGCTTGCTGATCATTATTCTAGGCCTGGTCTTCTTTTGCATTTGAATCTACAGTCCTTAGGACATGAATCTTGGGCCTATCATATTCGACATTGGAAGTTACATCAAAGGACAAGGGAAAATGCCATGTGTATAGAAAAATAGCAATTTGCACATGAACTACAGTTTTGTAGTTGTTGGCGCGGAAGGAAAAGAGATTGGGAACTAGGTGAATCAAAAATTATTTTCAAATAGACGTTCCCATTGGGATTTTATAGATCTAGTTTCAGACATCGAGGAGGACTTAACCTGGGGGATTGATGCAATTAGCCTCCACACTGTGAAAGACCTTCTCTGCCTAAGTGTTTGTAGGATGTCAACAAGGTAGGAATAAATGGCACCCAAATAGTTGGCTAATTTGTATAGTCAGTAATTTAAAATAGTTTCCTTAAATATAAAAAACAACCTGGCATTAAGTAGTTTTTCACTGTGATTGCCCCAAAAAAAAAAAAAAAATTACTGGCTTTCCTCATTTGTTGGTGTTTGATTCATGCCAAGATGAAATGTACTAGAGAGATGAGTCCAACCATAAACCAGACTCAGTGAGTTTCTTTGGTGCTCTCTTCACCAGGCAACGGGTGTGTTAAATATAGAGAGATATTCCTCAGTACCACAGAGATGTCTACTGTTGACATCTTTAAATAATATTTTTACATTTTTTCCCATTGATATTGGGCTCTGATGTCATCTGAGAGCATCAATTCACATTCTAATTACTTCAAGAGGTATTTTTTCATTATATGAGTTTTACTCAAAATACCTTCAAAACTATGGTCTTCTATTCTATTTCTTTGAGGCTCAGATTTCTCATATTACTAATAAAATGACAGATGATGCTTGTCCTATTGCTAATGATTATCATTCATCTGATCACATGTTTCATTGTGAAATCTCAATTTCATGCCAGATACACTTTTGCAAGGGGGCTTGAGGTCTCAGACTTCAGTTCCCATGAAAGTTCCTATACAAGTTCCTATATAGGTGATGGAGTAAAATTACCTTTAACCACCTACAAGAAACTAGTGAATAAACTTAAGAGGATAAAATGCTAATTTGAGGGTTAATTTATTACTCATTCTCCATAATATTATTTGCTTAGAGGAATTCCCACATAGCAGTCTGTACAGGAATAAAAGACCTTCCTAAGGACATTCAGTGAGAAAGAACAACAATGCTCCTCAGAACGCAGCACATTAGGAGCTGCTTCTCGCACTTGACTTTGAGCAAAAGTGATTTGCACAAAACTGTCACATAATAAAGCAAATCACAACTGAACTCTAATTGAACCAAAGTTTATGTAAATATAGAGAAGTTTTACAAATGCTCAGACCCCAAACAGTCCACGCCTGGAATCCTACATTATTCTCTTCATCTTTCTGGTAGTTTTTCAATGGAATATTAACATCACAGTGCAGAGGGCCCATGAGACATCTCAAGGGCTAGGTCCACCACTTTCTAAGCATCCCCACAGCCTATTCTCCTATCCACCCATGCACTGTAGCTAGGATGACAAAGTTGGGACAGTCCTTATTCAGTGTCCCATTCTGTAGAAGGGAATTTCCTGCCTGAGGAAACAACATTTAAAGTCTGTGCTGCTCTCAATCTAAGCTTCTTCTTACTTACCCTCAGGAGACAGATTCATTATTAGGAAACACAGCTCTAATCATTACCAGGATAAAATGAAGTAATTGAGTTACATTGCATGGTCTTGTCTTATCCTTACCATTCTCAGCTTAGGCAATGACACAGTCTTTGGCCCAAACTTCCAGTTTAGGGATAAGGCATTTGCAAACGATATTCTAAGTCAGTATTCTGTCTGCTTTTGAAACCTAAGACTCTACCGATGGCAATATGAATTACGGCTTTGGAAGAACTGGGTACACCAAATTAATGTTTTGGGCATTAGAGAATTCAGTAAAAACTACACATAGATTCTCACCATTATTTTTAAAATATATATATTTTTTAGATGTCGATGGATATATTCATTTATTTATTTATATGTGGTGCTGAGAATCGAACCCAGTGCCTCACCCATGCCAGGCAAGCACTTTACCACTGGCTACAACCCCAGCCTGGATTCTCTCCATTATTTTTACCAGGTAAATTTAAAAATTTAAATTCCTTTGGGCTATAACAGAGAATTTATCTATTTTGAAATTATAGATTTCAACTATTGAATTAGCAAACAATGAATTTTTTTTTTTTACAAATATTAATGAGTTTCCCAATTTCCCTCTTTTGCTAGTGCTGGAAGTAATGATCTCCTGGGTAATTTTTAAATACTATAATCTCTTTATGTGAAGTAAAAAAAAAATCACAAACTTATACTGTGGATATTTATATGTCTCCCCAGTAGACTGCTACTAAATTCTGGTAAATATGGTTTAAAATCATTCAGTTTGACAGGTGTGGTTTTCCCATCAAGGACTTGAAAAGCACTGTGTTCCTCCTGAAGTGCCAAGAGCCCAGAGCACCTCAAGGCCAAGTGTCCCTCCCCACAACCTCTGAAAGCAATAAAAAATTGAGGTCCCACCTCTGTGACTGGTGAGTTCTCTGGAAGCAGAAGGCAGAGGTGTGTAGTGGTGCATCTCAGGAGAGGCAGAGGCAGCAAAGTCCCCACTGGAAGCCTGCATGATAAAAATAAATGTCAATAGGAAGCAACATCCCATGCGAAATCCCCTTGTTGACCAAACATGTCCCTTGGGATCTGAATTTATCCACAGAGACTCTTCTTAGGAAGCAAGAGTGGTCTTTGTTGACATACAATTCTGTAAGCATAGGGTAGGGTACAAAGCTTGGAGGGCCTCAGCACTGGTGAAATGTCACCATGACAAGAGGCTGGGATGAACTGAAAGGAGGAAGAGGAGGAAAAGGAGAGGCTGAAGGCAGGAAACAGTAGACTTATATCTTTTTATCACAGGTCTTCTCCCAGGAATTCCCACAAAGCAAGTGCAGTCGGTGAGCAGATTTCTATGGAAACCAGTGCAGAGGCTAAGTTTGCCCCCAGGGTGGACGAGGAAAAGCAGGGCTGGTATACATGGCCCCGTGGCATGGAGGCAGAGGAAGTGGAAGATATAAAACTCTGCAGCATGAAATCACCATAGGGAAGGACATAAATTGTTACAGGCTGTGCAACTTGGCTTCTGGCTAAGTTTGATGACAGCACTGAAAAATCCATCTGAGACCTGGGTTTGGGATATAGGTTCAGCATAACCTATCCAAAATGCTTTGGACTAGAACATTTTGGATTTCTGATTTTTTCAGATATTTTTGAGTATTTGTATATATACAATGAGATATGTTGGCAATGAGATCCAAGTCGGAATACATAATTCATTTGTTTCCTATATACCCTATGCACACATTGAAGATAATTTTATACAACATTTTAAATATGCCTACATTTTGACTGCGACTTATCACCGGAGGTCAGGTGTGGAATTTTCAACTTGTGATGTCATGTCAGTACTAAAAAAAAGTTTTGGATTTGGAAATGTGTTTGATTTTGAATTTGGGGGTTAGGGATGTTCAACTTATATAATAGTTATCAGCAAAATATTGTTATTCTAAAGCCTAAAGGAAAAGGACCTGAAGTGCATCTTGGATGATGCTTTGTATTGTATATAATAGCTCCTTGACCATAGAACTGATATAGTATGGTCCTGACTAATAACTCTCTCCCTTTTGAACGCCACATCCTTGTGGGTTAAAGTATGAAGACAGTTACTGTGGGATTGGCTGTCATATACTTCAGATGACCAGTGTGTCACCTTCAGAATATAGCTGCCTATAACAACCAACAACCATTGCAACTCTTAACTGAGATTTCAAAATCAAATGCGACTTTTTTTTCCCCTTAATATCCAAAAAAGAACATCTGCTAGAATCAAAATCCTAAGCTTACAACCTTTCCAAGCTCCATGAAAAAGTAAATTTCATTAATGCTATCTTTTCCTTTCCAGAATAGGAAATGCATTCTATGGGATATATTTGCCCTGCAAGAAGCAGGTCTTTTCTCCAAAGAGATTACCTACATTATGGGAATCAAAACTAAGTAGGAGATTATACCTACTTGCTAGAAAAATCCTTTAAACTTCATTTCTGACATTTGAGATGTTTGATTAAGCAGCTTTCAGTAGAGACTTATAGAAAGAGTTCTGAATGGAGTGAAACCAGAAGCTATGTCCCTGGGTAGGAACAGCTTTAGGCAACATTTCTTCACACCAGCTCAAAGACAAATATAAGGCAAATATATGGTGTTTAAAGCTTGATCCAAGGATGTTGGATCCAGAAAGGCAAAAGCTCAGTTACCAACAATAATGTTTTTAAAAAGTGCATAAGATTTGTTATATACTACATCACTAGACATTTAGGGTGTTGCAAGAATGTGAAAGGGTCAGAAATGGGATTAAAATTAAAGTTAAAATACTATAATCACCATTTGTCTCTTTGGGATTCCAGACCTTCTGTAATTGCAACATGATTAATGAAATACAATGACAGTGCTCTAAGTACTACGATACTTATTTAATGCTTGGGGCAGGATATACGGGGTCCTGGAATGGAGACTATCCTTACCTAGATATACATACTTCCTCTATAACAGGCTCTAACTTTTTGTGCATGTTCTACCTCATTATTGAAAAGAAAAAAAAATCCTAATATCCAAAATAAGTTTTAAGTTGCTCTTTTATGGTATTCTTTAATACTTTTAATCTCTATGTGGGCTGTTGACAACTTGATGACAGCTTTTCCTAAAATTAGTGGAGGAAATCCTACCTCTAAATAAATACCTTGGACTGTGCAAAACATTAGAATTCTGTGACCAAGAGGAAAAAAAAAAAGAGCTATTTAGTTTTATTTCCAATTGTCAACAGGTCAGAAATGGTGTGGCTTGGGTTGTGTGGTCATCATTCTATGCCCAGCACTTCATTCCTCTTCGGCTTAGTGTCCATTTATAAGCTCAAGTCATGGAAAAGAATTCAGGAAAAGAATAATTCTGCAAGCGATGCTTTCTGGTGGAACTTTCATGACTCAATGTTTAGAAAAACAACTACAAATCAGTTCCGACCACCAACTCTTTGACCTGGCTTCTATCAAAATGAATCCTATTCACTCATTTCAATAGTGATGTTCACACTGGTTTTCTGAATCTTATGCTTAGAAGCACGATTCAAAAAGGCAAAATTATCATATGAAAGAAGTGGACAAGAACGTGTCTTAAATTTGCACACTGTCTGCCAAAGCATAAAGAGTTGACTTTGCAACCGAAGCAGTATACCCACAGTATATTGAGATAATAAAAACATAAGTAGAAAAACTGACATGATGTTTTCTTTTACCTGGACTAAGAAGAGATGCCTAAAATGGGAATAAGAAAATTTGGGCAGCTCTGAATCTTCAGGACTATAAAGGTTCTCAAATCTTTGAATCCTTGCCAATTTTCCTAACTGCCTACTGGCAGGGATTTGTATTTTTACATTTTACTTTTATCTCCTGTTAGAAGATATTTGCCACATCTACAGTAAAATACTAGTATCCAGGATACATAAAGAATGTCCCTAAGCCAATAAAAATAGGAAAAAAAAATGGACAAAGGAAATGTCAGGGATTTCAAAGAAGAGAAAACCTGACCAGATAATAAACATAGAATTTGATCAAATTTGCCAGCACTGAAGGCAATGAGAATTAAAACAGGATACAGTTTTTCCACTGATCCTATTGGCCAAGTTTTAAGTCCCATAATAACAAGTGCTAGTGAGAATGAAATAAAATGAAACTGTCCCTCTCATCCCTTGCCAGTAGGAATGTACCCTGGTTCACTACTTTGGAGGGTAGTTTAGCTGCATCTAATAAAACTGAAAATTGGTGCACTGATTCCACTTAACATACACTATGGAAAAGTTCACACAGGGTCTGCAAGTTTATAATGTTTACTGAAGCATCATTGGTACCAGGGAAAAAAAGTGGAAATAACTTAAATGTCAATAAGGAAAAAGGATAGATAAAATGTTGTATATTCATATGGCAGAATAATATTTACCACTTAAGAGCAATAACTTGATATATCTATATTGAAATATATAATCTCATTTTGAAGAGGTCTAAAATTTATAAAGAGTAAAAATGCAAAATTTATAAAGAGTAAAAAAAGCATCAGTCATTATTTATCAAGTATATCTTACATAATTTCAAGTTTCCAAATAATAAATTCAGTATAATATTATTTATGTAAATACGAAGTTCTTTGATTTTGTACATGTATGAAAACATCCCAAAATTATAAAACATAGACACTAAATTCATGTAAACGATTGGGCAGGGTAACAGGACTGGGGCTAATGGGATGTGAAGGAGTTTCATTTCTATATATGATGGTTTCTGGTTTTATTCATTTAAAGAATATTCTTGAAACAATACATCAAAATGTTAGAAACTACAAATTTGATATGGTGGCTACGTGTGTTCATTTAAAAAAAAAGAAACTCTATTAAGTTTCTCATTTAATTTAACAGCATGAAGAGAAGTCTCTTTGTATTAAGATGACATTACTACTTCCCCAGGTACCAGATACCATTACCTAGATGACCTTCACCTAGATCTTCTTCCACAGCAAGTTTTTCTCATCTTTCTTGAGTTTTGTTCACAATGTGCCCATTGCTTTAGCTTATACTTCAGAGCTCATAATTTTTAATCTTCCCTGTGTTTTCAAAATTCCTTGAAATATGAAATTTGAAAACACAATAACTCCATTTTTCCTCGGATGCATGCATTCCTATGGTAACACGAACCCATACTGACAGCATAGTTCCTCCAACCATTGTCTAGTAGTTGCCTAACATAGACTGATCTATGATTGGGATCTCTGGTTGGATTTTTTAGACGAAATACCCAATTTCCGCTTCTCCTTGAGCTGCTGATTGTGACATATAAGATGGAACAAAGCTGAGGATGGTAAATGTGTGTCCCCTCAGTGCCAGGCTTGAAGTAGCCCTCCGCCTCACAAGCCCTCCTGCTGAAGATCTGTCAAGGCGTACTGACAGCGTCTTCATTCTTCTCCTGTTCACAGTGGAAGATATACACTCAATTGAAGAGTTACTAATACTTTCTTTAGTCTCACATCAATAATAGTAATAGTCCCTAATAGACTGCACTCTGCAATTTCCATAATGCAGGAAGGACGGGAGAACTTTTGGCAACCTCACTGGGAAGGATTCTGTGAAAACACAGGATGCTCCAAGAGAGACTTGCAAAGTGAGCATGTCACCGGCGATTACAGAAAACAAATGTCTTCAGATAAATGCATGCAATTCCAAGCCCTTCCCAGCCCTTCCAAACGGGTGCACACAATGAAAACTGCAGTCCAGAGGATGTTGTGTGGACATCATGGATGTGCTGAAGGAACATGATATAGACCATGGGAGGAGAGATTTGGCAGGCTTCAAAACAAGAAGGGGGCAGCTACAAAGTTGTTTAATAGCCATAAATCTCCCACTATTTTTCACAAAATACCATCTAAGACCACAGCTCCACAACTCATTCCCCATCACTCAGCTCAAGTGGAGCGCTTTGGCACGCTCACTCACCCTTAAATCATACGCCGCATAAAGTGATCCCGGGTCTGGGA